GCAGACTATGGCAGGGGAGATGGGTTCTGCTCCTGGCTGGGAGATGATACGGGTGCCTGTGGATGGGAGTGGAACTGGGTGAATGTGCTTGGCAGCCAGCGATCAATACTGGATCCAGAACTGGTGGGATGGTATATGGGCATGTGAAGGGAATACAGAGGGTCCCTGTGCCAGCCAGCAGAGGAGGAAAAGGGCCAGGCTCTCAGGGAATCAGTGCTTCACAGAATAGAGAAAGGATCGATGGAGGGCAGACAGTGCCTGGAGTCCGGCACCTGGTGGCCCAGGCTCCATCAGGAACAGAGAGACTGAGGCCAGCTGGAGACTGGCAAGTGGGAGGGACAGATGGGAAGGGCACAGGGACTGCCCCAGTGAAGGACTAGATGGCATTGTTTGGGGAACACTCACTGTGATCTCAATACAGGAAAGTCCAGGAGCCAGGGCTTGGTTCAGAGCTGAACACAGCTGGTGGGAGGAGGCAGTGTGGTTCCCCGTCTGGGTACCAGAGAGAAGGGAGAATTAGTTTCCCACCTTAGCTTAGAGTAGGCTTGGAAGAATGTCTGGGGACAGGAGGTGAGTGACAGCAGGCCATGTAGCTGGGCACTGGGTGGACACAGCACCCAGTCCACTTAGCTTGAGGATCTGGCTGAGAGGTCAGAGCACAAAGGAGGGCAAGCCCTCAGCAGCAGCCGATAACTGTCCCTCTCCTGCAGGCCATCCCCAGTGCTGCTGAGCTGCGGGATCCCCGTGGATGTGGCCCGAAATGCACTCCGCCTCAGTGTGGGCCGCGGTACCACCAGGGCCGAAGTGGACCTCATTGTGGAGGACCTGAAGCAGGCTGTGGCCCAGCTGGAGAGCTAGGGCTAGGGCTCGCAGCTGCTCTGTCTCTCAGGGGCCAGCTGAACTTTGGCCATTCGATTCATAGGAAACGCCCCTAAGATGTCCCCTCTCAAGAGCTGCAGTCAGACGAGTGTCCTGCTCGGGTACAGAGGAATGAGGGCTGCCTGTCACACAGAACCCCACTCCAGCCCCATCCTTACTGGCTCTGGACTCCAGTGCCACATAGGACTTCCCCGTCACCTCCTGCCAAAGGCTATGTGGGAACGGAAATGTTCCAAGTGTCGGGCAGCCTGTCAGGGACTCCTGGCCCCAGAAATCACTTTGGCCTGAAGATAAAATCCAGTCTCCACTATCATTTAGCTGCTGTCGGGAAAATAGGAAACCTGGTTTTGTCTTCACCCATGGCCTCCCATGTGCTCCCACAGGGCCTCCCCACTGCCACCCTCCTCTGGCCTCCGGTGTCACTGCCCTTCTGTCTCCCAGGCTGAATGGTCCTCCAGATGAGGCCTCACACCTGGCAGGCCCTTCCTTTTCCCTGGAGGTCACAGTTCACCTGGCCACGTGTCCTCTCTCTTCCTTCTACTCAGGGATTTAACCAATGTGGCTGACGGGGGGGGGGGGGGGGGGGGGGGGGGGGGGGGGGGGGGGGGGGGGGGGGGGGGGGGCTGGTGTCTGATCTTAGTCGTGGCCAAAGTGGGAGATCTGATCATTTCTCACTCAACTTTAATTTTCCTTGCAAAGGTTTCTGCCATCTTGAGGATGTGGCGCACATTGTACCAATATTTACATAGGCATATCTTCTTGAATGTTCTTAGCATGTGGGTCTGTGGTCCAAAGGATGACACACATGTGGAAATTAAATGAACTAATAAACTATGTCTGAGATGTCTTGGTTTTTTTCTGGTGGTGGTGGGAGATTCTATTTTGCTGTTCACAAGGCTGATGTATGCTTGTCTGTCTGTCTGAGCAGAAGGGAAGGAGGTTCCTGGTATATCATTGTAAAATGACACCGAATGCTTGGAAGGGACTTCTGGTGGACTGAGAGAGGTCCCCAGTCAGCATCCACCTGCGGCACCAGGGAGAGGCCATGCTAGTCCTCACTTCCCCAACAAGACCATGGGTGGGTCCAGATCCCAAGAATGCTGTGACCCGAGAGGGCAGTGTGGAGCTATGAGGACATCGCCTTCAGTGTGGGGCTGTGAGGTCATCATTGTCACCTTCAGTGTGGGGCTGTGAGGTCATCATTGTCACCTTCAGTGTGGGGCTGTGAGGTCATCCTCTCCTTCAGTGTAGGGCTGTGAGGTCATCCTCTCCTTCAGTGTGGGGCTGTGAGGACATCACCTCTCCTTCAGTGTGGGGCTGTGAGGTCATCCTCTCCTTCAGTGTGGGGCTGTGAGGACATCACCTCTCCTTCAGTGTGGGGCTGTGAGGACATCACCTCTCCTTCAGTGTGGGGCTGTGAGGACATCACCTCTCCTTCAGTGTGGGGCTGTGAGGTCATCACCTCATCTTAGAGGTTTTACCATCCAGCAGCCACTGGAAGCTCACCCAGTATCGGTGCTGAAAACAGCCAAGGACCAGGGTTCAGATACAGAGTCCAGCCAGGCATAGTGGGGTGTATCTTTAATCCTGACTCATGAGGTAGAGGAGGGTAGAACTCTGTTCTCTGTGAGTTCCAGACCCTTAGTGAGACCCTGTCTCAGGTAAACACACACACACACACACAGAGAGAGAGAGAGAGACAGAGAGAGAGAGAGAGACAGAGAGACAGAGAGAGAGAGACAGAGAGAGAGAGACAGAGAGAGACAGAGAGAGAGACAGAGACACCTGGGGCTTCCAGTAATGGTACTTAGACCCTAAGGGCTACCACAGTGGGTCTACGCTTTAAGGAAAATTGAGACCCCTTCTGGGTGGCCTGCTAGTCTCTCACTGAAATATTTGCTGGCGCAGGTTCTGAGCCTAGGCTGACTGTAGCTGCGAACACCCTCTGGCTGCTGGAGACCCACCCGAAGCCCAGAGCCCTGTTGAGGCATCCTCTTGCTTCTCTCTGTGGCCTGACTCACATATCCCTTCCTCCAGGGCCGCGCTCTCTCTCCGTGCTCAGAAGCTCCAGGCACTGAGCCAGGCTTTCAGGGCAAGCCCCCAGAGCCTGCCCCCCCACACACACCCGCGATGTTGCTGCCTCCCATCTGCCTAGCGAGCCACTTATCAGGTAACCAGAGCCCTCAGCAGCATCCACGCCTGAAACAGGAAGCCCTGCTGGGCCTGCACACAAGCTCACAAGCCGCCACTGAGAATCCGACTTAGGATGGAAGAGCAGCAGGCACTGGCGGCCTCCAAGGATGGGGATGTAGCCACCTTGGAGCAGCTGCTTGAGGCGGGTGCCCTGAGCCCAGGAATCACCGATGAGTTGGGGGCTGGCCTGGTGCATCATGCCACCCGGGCTGGCCACCTGGACTGTGTCAAGTTCCTGGTGCAGAGGGCCAAGCTGCCCAGCAACCAGCAGGCACACAACGGGGCCACGCCAGTTCATGATGCGGCCGCCACTGGCAACCTGGCTGAGCTGTGCTGGTTGGTCCGCGACGGGGGCTGCGGGCTGCAGGTAAGCTAGACTAGAGTGGCTCTATGCCTGCTGTCCAGAAGGTCCTAAGCTCTGTCTCAGTCAGAGATGTGTGCCTCCGCCTCTCACTGCCCTCCACCCCCCCCCCCAAATAACCCAGAACAAACCCTTGAACACCAAGGCCACATCAGTCACCCTCATATGTATACAGAAAAGTCACCTGGGCTTTTCCACCCCTCCCCCAGCAAGGAGCATCTAGGGCCACCAACGATGCCCTTGCCTATGTTCAGGATCCCATCTCTGATTAGACCTGATCAATAGGACCTATTCCCCCAAAGAGTCAAGAAGTGGAGTTGTAAAGAGGCACCTTGGGCTCTCAGGATCTTGGAGCCCTTGGGACACAGGCTGACAACTGTCCTAGTGAGAAGGTTCTCAAGTCGCGTGATCATCCTGCTAGAACATGTCTATTAGAGCTACCAGCCTTGTCGCTGCTTGCATGCTGCTTGCATGCTTGGTGCAGGTAAGGGACAAAGGCTGTCAGCCATGCTACAGCTTGGGAGCACAAGGAAGCTGTCGAGTTGTTGGATGGAGACAGAGACACCAGCAGCACAGAGCTTAGAACTGCTCCAACCTCCACGCCCTTTTTTCAAGGGTTCTTCCAATGACCCCTGAGGGCAGAGGGCAGGCACTGGCACAGTTCCAGATTCCCTTTGGATTATGGTACCCCCAGGGAATGCCCAGGTCTGCCAGATGCCTAACACCTTCAGGAGAAATGCCTTGGGGACCATCCTGGGGTGGGATGAGGGGCAGAGCTTTAGAGGTCTCTGTCCCGGAACACCTGCAGCGAGAATCCCTGTGTTAGCTGAAGCTTTTCCAAGCACTTACAGAACATGCAGGGACTGAACTGATCAGAAAGGCTGGGAGCTGGAGTGGATGGGGAGGGATCCCAGTGGTCCAGCCCAGCTTCTTCCTTGATCAAGGTGGGGATGGAGGAAGTAGGAAGGGAACCAGCAGCAGGCATTATAGGGTTCTCCAGGAGACCAGCCTCAGTCAGCTGGCCATACTGGTGGTGCCCAGCCAGGCTGCCCTGGGCCCTGCCTAGGCTCAGCATCCTGCTTATGTCCTGGTAGGACCAAGATGCCTCAGGTGTCTCCCCGTTGCACCTGGCTGCCCGGTTTGGCCATCCAGCACTAGTGGAGTGGTTGCTACGTGAGGGTCATACAGCCACGCTGGAGACGCTGGAGGGGGCCTTACCACTGCACCACGCTGCTGTTAGTGGCGATCTGACCTGTGTGAAGCTCCTGACAGCGGCCCACAGCAGGTGAGAGCCCAGAACCCTGCCCGTGGAGACTGGCCACTGAGGGAGCCCTCACAGAGGAGAGGCACATACTGGTGACCTTTGAGGCAGGCCCTGTGATTCTGAAGCCAGAGGATAAGCAGGGGTAGAAGGCACAGATGCAGGCTCTGCATGGGGAAGGGATAGCCTTTAAACATAGGTGCAGCAATTCACCGGTCTGGGGGCTGTAAGAATTGCACCCAAATGGTGCTTGGGAAAAACAAATGCCTTCAGTCATGCTGACCTGGGCTCATCTTCCACATTGGAAACACCTTGACTTGACCAGCCTCATCAAATCCAAGGCCTTGTGCCCAGCCCTTCTAGGTTTGGTGGATGAGGGAAGATAAGACCAGACCCACCGAGGCAAGCGGCCTCCAAATTTCTCTTCCCTCCTTCATTGTGTTCTGGTCTGAGCCCTTGTACAAAGCTCACCTTTGTTAGAGCAAAGCAGGGCAGAGGGGCTTTGAAAGAAAGAGACCCAAACCCTTGCCCCTTGAGCAACCCATTCAGCTCTGAGCCTCAGTTTACCCTTTTGCCGGTTGAAGCTTGTAAGGGCCCCTCTATGATGGAGTAGAGGTGCCCCTCTGGGGTGGATCCAAAGTCACTCAGGGAGCTGCAGGGTGTCCGTGGAAGCAGGTCATTGCTCCCCTGCCTCCCGTGCCTAAGTGGCATGCTGGCTCACGGGCCCCAGAGGTGAGGATGTGGGACGAGGTCAAGGCACAGTCAGAGCCTTGAAGACAAATATGCTTCAGCCAGGAGTAGTCAAGAGCCAAGCCTTACTGCTAAAGAAGGCCGCCTTACCCAGTCCCAGTGAGCGAGGCACTGTGGCCAAGCAAAGACGCTGCTCAGCATAAAGAGGTTATACCCATCAGGGTTGCTCGGTGGCAGCAGCAGACACTACCAGCCACAGTGCCAGAGAGGCAGAGGAGGTCCCTGGGAGTTAGGGGTCCATTCTGTGTCTCTACAGGGATGGCTGAGAAGGCAGTCAGGACTGTGACCTTCCTCCATCCAAAATGATTGACAGGAGTAAACTTGACCCAGGCAAGGAAAGAGAGAAAGGAAGGACTCTGGCTGCAGGGGGTGGAGCACAGAGCCCATGGAGGCAGAAGCTGGAGGGAATTAGGGAAACTCAGACTATATTGCCAGGGATCAGGGATCAAGGACAAGGACATGAAGGTCACCTGAGTATGATGTCAGTTTCGGGAAGGTCACTGACCCTCCCTGCAGCTGGTCACTGGGAACCAAGGGTTCACACAGGCCCAAGATTGACCTGTGGAAAATCCCCCCAGTGCGACCCCCTCTCAGCCTCCCCGGGGCAGTTCTGGGTGCAGGCCTCACGAGTCTCCCTCCATCACAGTGGTGTGAACCAGCAGACCCGCAATGGTGCCTCTCCACTCTACCTGGCCTGCCAAGAGGGCCACCTGCATCTGGCGCAGTTCCTGGTGAAAGACTGCGGGGCCGACGTGCGCCTGCGCGCCTTGGACGGCATGAGCTCACTGCACGCTGCGGCCGCCCGTGGCCACTACTCTCTGGTTGTCTGGCTGGTAAGAGGGCACTGTGGGGGACAGGACACTAGGAAGTCCAGGCCCTGAGCCAGCTGGAAGGGGGGCTGTCTAAGGGCACAGGTCATCCAGAGTATGGGGTGGAACTCCGAGGTGCCTGTGGAACCACAGGAGACACAGCAGCCCTCAGGTGTTGAATTAGGAGCGGCAGGGCTGCGTCCCCGGCACCCAGCCGCCCACATGGCTAGCTTATGCCCGAAATAATTACACTGAAACTGTATTCTTTCAAACACTGCCTGGCCCGGCTAGTTCCAGTTTCTTATTGGCTAGCTCTTACATATTAATCTAACCCATTTCTAATATTCTGTGTAGCTCACGAGCTGGCTTACCAGGGAGGATCTTAACCTGCGTCTGTCTGGAGCGGGAGAATCATGGCGACTCCTTCACTAAGCTTCTTTTTCCCAGCATTCTCTTCTGTCTACTCCACCTACCTAATTTTCTGTCCTATGAGGGCCGAGGCAGTTTCTTTATTATTACAAGACCCACCTCCATCATTTCCCCTTTTTCTGTTTAAACAAAAAAGAAAGGCTTTAACTTTTAACATAGTAAAATTACATATAACAAAACAGTTATCAAGTAAGAATTACAGTTACAATATTTATATCTATTTTATCTCTTACCATAACTAAGGAAAACTATAACTATTCATTCTTCAACTCCATCAAAGACTCCAGAAGGATATAATATTACCTAAGTAAACAAGAAAAAGGCAAACTCTCAAACTCTAGAAATGACAGAGACATCTCGCTGCCTGGACAGTCACCCAAAGTTCCTCTGTACCGTTGGGGCATCCATCTTCGGTCTACAGGCCCATAGTTTCCAGCAGACATTTCCACAAAGCAGGAAATTTCAAAGGCAGTCACTATCTGCTTGTCCTGAAGAATGTCTTGCAGACTCCTTCATGAATCAGGAACCCCGAAAGATCATCTCACCTTTAGGCAAGTTCAGCAGTCCTCTCTCTGCGGGTTCTCTGTGTCCAGTTTATGCAATAGTCCAGGCAAGAGCAGTTTCTTGCCCAAATGGCTATCAAACTCCATAAGGTTCCTCTTCGATGCCCATCTTCCTCTTGAAGTGGATTGGTGCTGCCAGGAGCAGAGTGTCTCATTGTCATGAAAAGTCCTAAGTTATTAAAACATTTAATAGCATATTCCGTAGTCTTTGAAAAATATGAAGAATGCCTATCTAACTGAAATATATATCTAGAAAATCTAACTAACATGACTACAAACTTGACTATTAATGATTATCCATTAACAACCTATATACATTTTTAAAAGAACTACACAATCACAATACCTTAATAAAGATCAGAAATACATATACATATAACAAAATCGACCATAAAATCCATACCAATGCAAATTATTCATATCTATATCATATCCCCTTTAAATGTAAAAGAACATTTATAAACAATATTTGGGAACATGGGCGTAGTTTTTTCTTTCCAAACTGCTTCCTGCTGAATAGGGGAGTCGTTAATTAGGTCTTTTGTGGTATAACCTGTGTGCCAGGGTCATCTCGGTTGGCAGTTGAGTGAAGTAATTTTTTGAGGGTGTTCACAGCAACCTTTCAGGAGGACGTGGTCTATCATACCAAATCGGAATAGATGCAATCCACAGGGTCACATCCTCTGTGAAAACAAAAGAAGGACTTTTCCAAAGCATCATATCCTTAGACCCAAATTCTGAAGTCAAGATACCTTTAGAACATATGTGCAGGTTCAGCCTAGCAGCCCATATAATGAAATGTCTCTCTGTACTTAGCTCCTTCACAGTCAAAAGTCATTCTGGCTGCCCATGAAGGAGGCAGGGGCGGGGCTCTCCGCTCCTCTAGTGCTCCCTTCAGTCTCCCCTCAGGGCCTTCATTCTTGCTGGGCCTTGTGCCTTTCTGAGATCCCTGGGTGTTCCTGGTACTGGCTCCTGGCCAACAACACATCTGGCTGGCACTGTAGCCGTCATTCCCACCCGCCACCTGGAGGCTGGGTCCTGTCCGTCACCTGGATTCCCTGGGCCTGGCAGTTAGGGTGAGGAGACACAGAAAGAGCAACGTTCCCTCCACCTTTGGTTTGACCCCCAACCTCCCGCCCTAGAGGTTGTGCCATTTGCCTTCATTTCTCCTTGCGGCACCTGCCTGACCACTAGTGTGTCTGTCACCCGGCCACTAGTGTGTTACCTGTGTGTGCTGCTCCACCACCCCAGTTCCCCCAGGAGAAAACCTCATTTCCAGGCTGCCCAGTTCCCCAACACCTTTTTGACCTCGAGGCCCTGGCCCTGGCCTTGCTTGCAGATCTAACTCAGTCACTGAGACCATGACCCTCACCTGTGGCCCCAGGTCTGAGCCTTGAGTCAGCTAGCCTGTCACCTGGAAATGAGCCAGCGGAATGTGTTGGAGAAGCAGCCACGGTGGTGACTTGTGGCAGGGCGCTGGTAGTTAATCCTCTGAGACCTTTGGATTGTGCTGAGGTGGGCACATGTTAGCCTGACAAACACCGTGGGCTATAGGTCTTGGGACAGCTCAGTGGTAAGACTCCTTACCACAGAGGGGAACCTTGCCTTTGTGGAGAATACTGGCCCCATTGCCAGCAGCGGAAAGGGCAGAAACATCAGCCCTTAGCCCCTCCTCTAAGGAGCTTCCTGCTGACCCCAGAGAACACAAAGGCAATCCTAGATGTCCACACTTCAGTAGGCAAGCCCGTGGAAGAGGGGACACTGCTTTTGATGGGAAAGCCTGAGAGGACGCCAGCTGGCCCCGAGGTGCCCCCACAGGGCTGAAGAGGCCAGAGACAAAGGCAGGCCACAAGGCCCCAAACAACAGGACAGGCGCCAGGCCATGTGACCAACTCTGGGCCAGAGCTATGGGGAAGGTGCCATAGCACCCAGGCCTCTGGTAGCACCCTCCCAGAGGAGCTGAGACACCAGGAGATGCCTCTGTCAGCGGCCTCTCTGCCTCTCCTACTGCTGAGTGCCCATGTGGTGTTCCTCTCTTGCTGTGGCATTTAACTTGTGGGCTTCCAGAGTTAAAGTCCTGTGCTCATATAACCTGCCCCAGCCTGGGATGCCTTATGGGTCACAGGGCACATGGGGCGAGCCAGCTCTGCCCTAAGACTCCCTAGGGATATCTCCACTGCCCACTGAGGATCACAGGTGGGGAGTCCCGTTTCTGCTCTGAATGCCGCTGTCCCTCCTCCCCGAGGACCTGGCTACCCCAGGTCCATCTTCAGCTGATGGCTGTCTTCCTGGGTTCTCTTGCCAGGTCACGTTCACAGACATCGGCCTGACAGCACGGGATAATGAAGGAGCCACTGCCCTGCACTTCGCAGCTCGGGGCGGCCACACGCCTATTCTTGACCGGCTTCTGCTCATGGGTGCCCCCATCATGAGAGACTCCTGGGGAGGGACTCCCCTGCATGACGCAGCCGAGAACGGACACATGGAGGTAGATCACAATGGGGGGGGGGTTAGGACTCTGAGCTGGCATTTCATCAATGTGCTCTCGAGTCCTCCCAGGAGTCCTCTGAAACAGATGCCAGCACTACCCTTCTATAAGGGTAGAAGGGGTACGGCAGGCAGAGCACATGCCCTAGGTGCCCAGAGAGACCCAGTTCCCTGCTCTAGGGTGTGTGTGTGTGTGTGTGGTTAAAGGCTGATGTCGCATAACTTAGACCTGCTGGCCCAGGTGGCCCAGTTTCCAGGAAGGAACCCCCAGAACCCACTCCACGCAAGGGCGAAAGTGTCACACAGGTCAGGAGGCGCCCAGGTCTGAGGGCTGAGGCAGCTGGTGGCCTGTCTGGCTCTGGTCTCATGCAGGTTCCTTCTCCCGCACCCTTCCTGCCCTGAGAACCCTGAGCTCCACAGCTTCCTGGATACCTTATATGTTTCTGAGTTTTGCCATGGTTGCCGACTGGGCTCCTCTACGGGGGTTGTCCCTGGAGACAACATGTGTCCAGTGGCCCCAGTGGCCCAGCCTGGGTCAGAGTTTGGGTAGCTGTTCCCAGGCAAGAGAATCCCACAGAGTGCAGTCACAGAATCACTGAAGGCAACCCTGGCCCAGCCCATAGCAGCTACCCAGGGACCTTTCTCTACCTCCCTCACCTTCCAGGCAGAGACCCCTCTCACTTACCGGACTCTCCTGCAATCCCTGCTCAGCTCACTCCAGCTCCGTCCCCTACCTGGGCCAGGCGAGCCTGCCAGAGCCCTCGGGGACCCTCTCTGTCCTGCCTGGATGGAATGCCAGGTGGCAGTGTGCTAAAGAAGGGAGTCCCTCCCACCCCACCCTGAGGGAATCTGCTGGGCCTACCGCTGGCGACAGACACTCTGAGCTCTGTCTGCTGGTCATCAAGCCCCAAGCACACCCCAGCTCCTTTTTAGGAGAAGGCGATGCAGGGCAGTGGAGTCCAGATATTATTGATATTATTTTCCCATGCAAGACTCTGTGGAAGCCCATGGACCCAGCGAGAGTAGCTATAGCTCCATGGGCTCCCTGGGAGGGGGCCCACAGAAGAGGGGGCCCACAGAAGAGCGTGTCCTCCCTTTAAGTCTTACAGAATCCAGGACTTCCAAACGTGAATGTGCCCAGCAGCTCACAGCTGGGCTCCTGCTTTCCCGCCCCCTGGCATATGAAAGCAAACCAAGGGCCGGGGTGGCACCAGACACCCTTGTGGTACACAACCATGCATGCCGCAAGACACCCATACACATATACTTAGATGTGATGCGTCTGCTCTAGGCTCTGCCCTTCCCTGTAATGACAGCTCAGCTGCAGCCCTGCGTCACAGCCATGCCCACGAGTACTTCCTGTTTCTGTTTTCAACCACCGCTGTCCCATGACAGGTGCCACAGATCAGGCTTCCTAAGACGGGATACCTGGGTGACCTGCGGCCCTTGGCCTGAATAGCGCTTTCCTAGTTTAGCTTAATCTTCAGAGGACTTCAAAAGGTGCCAGCAGCTCACTCCACCCTCCAACTCTGGTTTTAACTGGTCCTGGGTAGGCTGGAAGAAGACTATGGCAGAAACCCCAGGGGGTGCTCACCTGTGCCCGGTGGGAGGACCATGGATGAACAATATCAGTAAACCCATCTGCAAAGAGTTGCATGATGTGGGCACTCATGGGAAGGAATGAGAGGGCTGGGTGAGGTCAGTGTGGTGGGGGAGGCAAGGCTGGTGGAGGAGAGAACTCATGGGCAGAAGGGCCATAGAGCGCTGTCTGGAGGCCACCGCAGGCTGCTGTAGCATGTTTCACACTGTCTGAAGAAGGGCACTGTGGTAGGAGGGCAGGACAAGCGTGCATGAGACTGCCTCGGGCCAGATGTGTGGCTAAGACTATCTTAGCTCTCTACCCAACGAACTCCAGAAAGAACTTTTAGAAACCTCCGGGGTACCAACTGATGCCCTATCTTGTGGAAGATCCACCATCCACTGTGTCTTGTGCCCGGCAGGGCATGCCCACACCCTCCCTTGTCCACAGTCATTCTCTCAACAGACCCAGAACCGGAAGTGTTTGTCAGTCAGTGGGTTCTGTGGAGTCATCCCTCTGTGGGTCCTGGAAACTCAGGGCTGGCTTAGGTGGTTACAGTGATTGGGGTTCTCTTAGGTTCATGATGGGGACAGGAATGTTGGCTCAGCCAGAATGGTCCCACTCAGTGAAAGATTCACTTGCATCCAGTGGACCTCCTCAGGGCTCGGGGCTCGATCTGCAGCCATGAAAACCATCTGTGACCCTCTGAGCGAGTGCCCTCCTCAGCGTGCCTCACTGCCTCGGTTTGAACTGAGTGTGGCATGTGCACATGCCTGGCTCGCTTGTGACCAGATTGTGTTTCAGATTCCTCTCTAGAAATGGCTCCACAGTGTACACAAGGGGACAGGCATTTCGTTTCATCCCTCCTTTAAAAATGCTGCCACTGACAGCAATTGTTAGGCCTGATGCTGGAGCTTTACTGGCGTGGCCCTCTTTATTATTATTATTATTATTATTATTATTATTATTATTTTGCCTTTTTGTTTTGGCACTATCCTTGTTCTCAGTTAAAAAGCTGAGGAAAGATGCTGGCTTTGTTTTTAAAACAATCTTGTATAGCCTAAAACTCACTATGTAGCCAAGGGTGACCTTGGACTTCTCATCTTCCTGCTTCCATCTCCTGAGTGCTGGGACCTTGGGCATGTACCACCGAACCTGGTTTGTGTGGTACTAGTTACTGGTCCTGGTGATTGAACCCAGGGCTTCGGGCATGCTAGACAAGGACTCTACCAACTGAACCGCATCCCCGGCCACAACAGCCTGACCTTCTGGTTGTTAAATTTGTTATGGTTCTGCATACAGGTAAATCAAATCATCACCTATAACCCAGGCGTGGTGGTGCATGCCTATAATCCCAGCACCTGGGGGACAAGAACAAGAGCACTGCAAGTTTGAGGCCATCCTCGTAGGGAGACCTTGTCTCAAAAAGGAAAAACTAAACAAAAACCAGCAACAAAACCCAAACTAGGACAACAAGAAACCTTTCATGTCATCTTGACACAACCATGAAGTGAACCTGAGGCCAAGATTGCTATTCAGCTTGTTAGTTAAAGAGAAAGCCGTAATTCCCGGGGAGCCTGTATGCACAGATAATGTTGAGAGCCGTCATAGCTGGGTAGAGTTGGCCACAGGTCATCTCCACCTACTCTCTCGCCTTCCTGTGGGCAGGAGTCCTGTTCAGGACATCTGAGCTGGAGGTCAGAGTCGCAGACAGAGCAGGGAACCCCCGGGCAAAGTCCAACGGGACCCCTGGGGCCTTCCTCCCTTTTGCTACCTTTCTCAGCTGCGCTGGATTCAGCCATCTGGCCCTCGGGTTTCCAGTGCAGGGTTTTAATTATTTAGAAACGGCATGTACGGGTCGATGCTATCGCACGTAGTGTTTGTGTTAGGATAGCGAGTGAGGTATTAAGACGCGCTGGGAACAGAAGGTGCAGGGTGTGCTGGGGCCGAGGCTTCAGGACGGTTGTCCTCAGCGACCCGGAGCTCCTGCTTGTCCACAGGGTAGTCGTGGAGCCATCATTATGAAGAGAAAGGTCTCTTCATGGCCTTGAAAGAATTCCTAACTTCTTCATTCCCTTCTGTAAACCTGAAGAAGCCGAGGCTCCCGCAGTGGCTGGGAGATAGAGCTGGAGCCTGGTGCACAGAGGCCCCAGCTTTTCAGACAGAGGGCTGAGATGAGTGTAAAAAGCTGAAGGGGTGAGAGAAAGCAGTCACGGGGGGGTTGGGGAAGGCCATCTTCAACAGTTCTGTTTCTTCAGCTCTTAAAATCCTACAGGCTTTCTCTTTTTAAATAAAACAAACCCGCAAATCTATGCGTTCTTCCCACCCCGTGCAGATCGAGCTCCCACGTGGAATCGTGGGATGGCTGTCCCGCAGTCTGGTGTGTCTGTTGGGGGCTCCCTCAGTGCAGCTTTTTCTGCATCCCTTCTTTTTGTATGTTTGCCTCCAAATGTCATTATGTCCTCGTCAGGAGTGAGGGATGTCGTCGTCAGGAATAAACTGGCCCTGGGAGCCAGCTGTGGTGTGCTGTGGTGTGATGCCCACCTGCAACCCCAGGACTTGGGGGTAGAGACAGGAAGATCAAGAGTTCAAAGCCAGACTCAGCTATATAACAAAGTCAGTCAGCCAGGGCTACAGGAGACCCTGCCTAGGGGAAGAAAAACCAAAATCTTTGTGATTCCCAGCCTTTCTCTTTCGTGTGTGCTTTAAAAGGTGCATCCCAGCCCTTGTCCATGGGAAGGCCAGGGGCCTGTGTTCTGAAGTTGTCCTTCTGTCTACCATGAGGGGACAGTAGGCAGGTGGGCCTTATTTCCGCTGCCTGGATTGGTCAAACTCCTAGATTTTTGCTCTGGAATTTGCCGTCAGTCATAAGAGTCTCAACCCTGGCCTCTCAGACAGCACCTCTGCCCTGTTCTGTCTCTCCTCTCCGTCTGGGGTTCATATTACACGTATGCTGGACATTACTGTCCTGCGTTGGTCAGCTTTCAATCATGGAGACTGTTTGGCTCACAGGTTCAGAGTTTTCAGTCCACGGTCATTCTGTCTTGTTGCTGTGGGCCCAGGGTCACACCGAACGTTATTATAGGAACTCGTGGGTTGGAGCTCAGCTCTGTGTACCTCAACCTTTGTGAGAGGGAGTGAAGGAGTGAACAGGGATTAGAGTCCCAGTATTCCCACTGGCCTAAAATCCTTCCGCTAGGCCCAACCTCCTCAAGGTCCTACTGTATCTCAGTAGGGCCACAGACTGGAGACGAAGACAGGCCCCTACAGGATGCTATCCTGACAATGGCGCATGTCTGGTAGGTTTCCTGTTTCCTTTTTGGGTCTGCAGTATCTCGGTTACATTTTTTAAAGTTAGATTTTGAAATTAGCTCACCAACCAGCGGGTTTCCTGAGACATCTTTGTGTGTCTTAGCTTTGGTTGGCTCCACCTCTCCTCAGCCCTCCACCCTCACTTTCTGCTTCAACTCCCAGAATCCCCCTCTTCTCGCATGCCGCAGGCATTCTGCTATCCCTGCAACTACATTTTCAGCTGGCTTGTGAGGTGTCTTCCACATGGTTTCCCGCTTACCCCAACACGCCTCCCTGCTTGTCTTTTAGTTCCCAGTGTTTCAATACTTTGCTTTGATTTTGTCTAGCCTGTCCCCTCCCCTGAATGTGGGTCCTCCTGGCCCCTTCTGTTTGGCTCCTACCTGTGCTTCAAGTTAGATACAAGATTTGAAGCTGGGTCCATGTGGCCTTTGTTATTCTAGGCCTTGGTGACCTCATTCAGTACATTTTTTCCCCCATGGGTTCCTGCTGACCCGTGTTCTCTGTCCAGTTCTTCTGTCTCCATTCCTAGTTACATCTGGCTTTTGATGCCCTGTCTGTCGTTTTCAGTCTGCTGTATCAGGTATTTGTTTTTTTTTTTTTAATTTTGAGACAAGGTCTCATGCATCCTAGGCTGGCCTTGTGTTCACCAGATAGTTGATCTTCCTGCTTCCACTTCCATGTGCTGGTATGTGCAGGTATTGCTGGTATTCACACCTGTTTATGAAGGGCTAGGGGTGAAACCTAGGGTTTTGCGCATGCTCGGTCAGTGCTCTGCCGCCTGAACCACATCATGTCTATTGCCTATAATACCATGTCTAAAATTTCACGCTCCGGCTTCATTTCTCTGAAAGTCATAATCATGGTAGTTTTTATGTACCACGGAGTCAATCATTTCTCATATTTCCCAGAATCCTTCACTGCTACTGACTGGGTGCTGGACATTCTAATTGGGGAATCTCTCTGGGTGTAATTGGAGTGACTTCTTATTGCCCTTATGATAAGAAATCATAAGGTAAGAGCGAGAACTACAAGCCCAGGTCCATTTTAATCTTTATTCCGTGCTCGAGGTTCCTGGGCCACCTTGAAGCGTGAGGCAGTCAGCCGGCTCTTAGGCGCCCTTAGCCTACACAGTGGTTTGCTAACTAGTGCCCTTCAGGCAGCTCCTGGTCTCCTTGGTCCCTTGTTCTTTAGGCTACTAGGATGGTCCTGTTCATCAGCACCTTTGCAGGGCGGGGTGGATCTGGGTGTTAGGCTAGCCCCTCTCAGGCCTCCCTCCTCTCCTGGGCTTGACCTCATCAGCCCTCCCTCCCTTCTTTATCCTCTTTGGTATGTAGAAGGCATGTGCGTGCCATCCTTCATGCCCCACTTCCTTCCCTGTAGCGGACCCATCTGCTCACCCTCCCGTTGTTCATCTGCTCCTGCTGTGGCCTCCTCAGAGGTCCAGACTTGCTCCTTGGCCATGTCTCACCAGCCACCCCAGGCTCGCTGGTGTCAGCACCCAGGGCATCCTTTACTCCAGCAAAGTCCTTCCCGCACCGTTGCCGCCATCCTGTCCAGGCTGTACCTTCTCTCTCCAGCACCATCTGGGGCCAGGCTTGGCGCGCCCTCCCCTTCCTCTACACTGTCTTTGCGGGTCCTATAACCTCCCCTCCAGGGCACCCCAGCCTCTCCTGCTACCCCAGAATCCCCCACGGTTTATCCAGCTTAGATGGCTCGTGCCTATGCCTCCGTTCGGTCTCGCTTCGGCCATGAGCTCTGGAGGGTCTGGCTTACCAACCTGAGAAAGATGCCTCATTCAGTTCTGGACGGAGTCTGAGAGGGAAAGACAGAGTCACTGGCAGGTTGCTGAGTGGCTAAGCCTGCAGCCGGGGAGGTGGCCTGAATGTTCCTGTTGACGGGCATGCGGTGAGCTACAAATGTCATCGGAATATTCCATTCTCCCGCAGTGCTGCCAGACCCTGCTCTCCCACCGTGTAGACCCCTTCCTGCGGGACGAAGACGGCTATACAGCGATGGATCTGGCAGACTATCACGGACACCAGGATTGCGCCCAGTACCTGCGGGAAATGTCTCGCCCGGTAAAACCTAGGGGCCCTGTCTGTCCTGGAGGACTGGGGAGGTGGGCTTGGCAGCTGACTACAGTGCTGCTTTAACATATCTCTCTTACCTCAGACACTTATGAGGAACAAAAGCCTTGGAAGAACCCAGCCAGTGAGGCAGGAAGCCAGAGGAAGCAGAGGCCAGGCTGCCACACTGGCCAGGGCAGGAGCTGTCGTGGGAAGGTCCTGTGACGGGGATTAGTCTGTGAAGGAGGCTGAGGCAGTACGGGACAAGCCATGCCTGTCACGTGGACCATAGAAACTGTGTTTATGTCTTGGAGACGTTACTTTAGGCTGAGCACACTCAGGGGTAGAAGAAAGACCCCACCGAGGCTGAGGTCTCTCTCACACAGCCTATCCTTCTCCAGAGGTAGCAGGCTCACCCTACTCTATGTGTGACTCTCCATCCCCTCACCTCTTGGAGCCGGGATCCTTGGCTATCCCTACTGGTCCCTGCTCCCAGCAAGGACAAAGTCCAACAGTTTGCTGATTGAACAAAGAAGGGAATTCACAGAGGAGTGGGCTGGTGTGAGCAGAGGGCCGGGGGAAGGAGATAGGGGAGTGGGGCAGGTAGGAGGGTGTCCCTTGTGGGTATCATTTGGTGACTTGGATCCAACTCTTCCCGGTGCATCTCTTCCTACTCCACCCCCTCCCTCTGCATCCAGCCCAAGGCAGTGACCATGATGAGTCGCAGCAGTTCTCAATGGTGCCACCCCTTCAGGAAGGTGACCTGTCTCACCCCCGTCCAGGTGGGGGCACTGAGGTTTAGGGGGTGAAGTCCCCCTGGGGCTCTCTTGAGGGGATTCCATGTTTCTTCTCCTATGAGGACGTCCCCTCAGAATGCCAGGAACCAACTGAAGCAGAACTCTCCTTGGCTCTTCGGCCTGTGCTAGGTCCCTCACAGGGTCACACTCACATTTTACTGCAGCACACCCGATCCAGCGGGGTACAGTTCTAGGAGACCGCAAGGACCGGGTGGGGCTCCGTCTGGGGTAGAAATCTCCGAACCTGGCATTAACTGTTTTGGAAGTAGACCAGGGACTATACACTAGGCTGTGGCTGTCGATGCAAGGTCCCTTCTCTGGCTGGGACTGAGCAAGCTACAGGCTGTTTTCTGGAAAGTAAGCGGGGCACATTTTGAACCCAGGGATACCCCAACTGAACATGCTAGGCTCCTGTCCTCACTGGGATCGGCCCTGTCCTGGGTAGCTGATGAGATCAGGGGGTGGGATGGGTAGCCGCTGAGATCATGAGGTAAGAAGGGGGGCTGATCCTGCCTCCCCATTGCAGGAGTACCTGCTCCCATGGACTTGGTCCCATCTAGCTTTCCAAAGTCCCTGACTAGCCTCACCCCAGGCATGATGTGAATTCCGAGGCCAGAATTCTCTGTCCATGCAAGTTCTCGGCTTTCCATCTCTATAGCCTAGCAAGCCAGCGACCTTACCCCACCCCAGAGAAAGGGTTTCTGCTTATTCCCTTGTCCCTCCAGGCTGAGAGTCACAAGCCCATTTTGTCTTCCTGGGATTGGTCTGGTTCTAGCTGTGTCTGTGAAGTTATATAGGACCCAAGGCATCAGGACACCTTCTTACCTGGGGACTATGGTACCTGGCACTCCCAAGTCCTCATGGAATCCCCATGGGCCTAACATGGTTCATCCACGTCTGGTACCCCAGTACCTTCCTTCTTGCTCATATGTGGGCACCTACTTAGGCCCTGCATGCCTGACCCTTGACCTCGCAGGGGCTCAGTGGTGTATATCTCGGGAAACATTTAGAACCTCATAGTTAGGGTTAGAGTTTGGTCACCATGGTGTCTTCTTGATGGTGCCTGGTGACGGATAGGGGAGCCTGACTCCACCACTGCTAGAGTTGTCCTCTAAGCCTCCCACCTCATGTGGGAGGGACAGGCTGTCAGCTGCAGGCCGGCAGCAGGGGGAGCGCGCCTGATGCAATATTGATGGAAATGCAATATGCAGAGGTCGTCTGCACTGGCTCTCTCCCGTGGGCCTGAGGAGACGGTGAAATCCATTATTCCCCGGACACCACTGGCCTGAGCTGCTCCCAGGGGGCCCTGTGGGACCAGGAGAGGCAACCTGAGTGCTAGCCTGTCATTATTCTCAAGAGCGGTCTCCTGAAGGGTGCACCTGAATGGTGAAGTGATGACCACATCAGGGCTCTGTGAGACCTTGGCACACCCTCTGCTGAGTGTGGGGCCTGCATGGAGTCCTGGGGAAATTCAGGCCTAGCTTCTGCCTGGATCTCAGTGTCCCTCTGCACAGCAAGAGGTTGGGCCTCCTTTTCTAGGTGGGACAGAGGCCCTTTGGCTGTTGAAGCAGTAGTCTGCTGCCCACCCCTCCCTCAGTTGGTTGGTAGCCTGACTCCCTGGTGCGGGAGTCTGAAGGCTGTTCTGGAAGTGTCAGCTATCCACCACAACCCTGGAAGATGTGTGCAGACCTCCAAGCCCAAGGAATGCGGCCCTCACCCCTTATGGTCTAGGTTGCCCTGTTTGCCTACCTTATACTCACGCCCACCAGTGTAGTGCTGAATCCTCTTGGGCACACGGCAGCAGCCTTGACTTCTTCATCCTCGAAGCAGGTCTGAAGACTTTGTCTGGGGGCAGAAGCAGTGTTCCCCTACTGCTCTGTCAGGATGGCCTCAGCTCGGTCGCCCTCTCCTCGCTGCAGGGGGTTCCAGGGCTCCTTCACAGACCTGCGGGAAGGCTGGGGCTAGAGAGGGCTGGGGACTTCCCCCGGACAGTCTTGCCTGGGGCGGAGCGGAGGTGGCTGCCCACAGTAATGGAATCTCAGCTGTGGTGAATGGTGTCCAGCTCCGTCTGAGGTCATGATTTTCTCAGCCCGGGTGGCATTACAGGCCTGTAACCCAGCTCGCCACAGCTGCTCTCCATGATTAATGCATGGCAGGCTCAGTAATGCTCAAATCTCACCAAAAACAAGGAAAGAGGTGGGAGGCGATGGAGCCGGGGGGACTGTTATCCTCAGAACAGCTGTCTGGGCCATGGTATGCCCAGCCGTTGGGACCAAAGGATGCATGGAGTCTGGCACATCCCCCCTTTCTATACCCAGGATTCCCTCAGGGTCCACAGCCAAGACTGAGAGGCAAGGATGTGGGGGTTCCCACTGCCTGGAGGGCATCCTCATTAGGCTTCTTCCTGCCCAGCTTCAGAGGGGTTAGCACTAGTAGCTTCCTGTATAGGTCCGATTAAATGTCCCCCATGATACCACACCTTCTCCAGCCCGCCTGTAGCCATAACTTTAGGCTCACACTGGCTTCCCTTTCATGTGCAGTGGTGAGGAGGGCCCAGCGCCCAGCCAGCCCAAGGTCCTGGGGGCACTCAAGCTGTTGGTCTGTTCTAAAGTTGGGGTCAATTCTCCCAGACCAGGCTAACATCCCACCTGTTCTGTCCTAGCCTGAGGAGTCCGCTGACAGCCCCACTAAGCCCCCCACCCCTAATTTTTTTCTGAGTGAGGTGGGCAAGGGTACCTCTTGCCCATCCTCTTGACAGTAGATTGAATGGCAGAGAGAGGCTGAGGTTCCCAGACGAGGGTTCCCTTGCTCCCAAGTCCCACCCCAGTTGATATGTTAAAAGTCCAGATGGCTGCCATGTCCTCAGTGGGCTGGTGTTTCAGCCAAAGACCCCTGAGCCTGAGCACCCCATATCGGAGTGAATTGCATTCAGATTGTCCCTGTCCTGTGGGGTCACCCCTGCCACAGCCCTCCAGGGTCAAGCTCAGCATCCTTAGAGACATTGTCAGGCCCAGGAGCAGTCCCCAGAGCTTGTGCTGCCCCTCCCTCAACTGTGTGCTGTCTCCATGAGCCCCTGGGAAGTCTCTCTCTCCCCCACTGTGTGCAGGGAGAGGTACTGCAGGTCGGGCTCCTCTGGGTAATGTCAGGTCCTCCACCTTCCAGAGGTCCACCCCAGACCTCTGCTGTGGAGAGCAAGGCTCTGTGGTAAGGGATCCCACACCTGGCCCCAGCTTGCTGGCCACCTGACACCTTGGCCTTCAAATATTAATGTGATACCTCCTACTTTGGGGGGTACAGCTGCGACAGCCCCTGACTACTGGTACTGGGACAGCCACGGCTCCCTGCGCTCGGCTGCCCCTGCATTTGCCTCTGAGAGCCAACCAGGCTGGAGCAGATGTTCCAGCCCTGCGGTCCCACATGTGGGCTCCTGGGATTTGCAGACTCCCGGGATAAGTGAGGTGCACAAGAGGGCGTACGGGGCTTCATGCTGCTTTCGTTTCTCTATTGCCTGGTGAGCTGAGGGTCTTGGGTGGTTTGAGACTAAAAGATAGGATGGATTCACCTTGGCCATGAGTGAGGCGTGGCTCAAAGAGGCCAAGAGTTTGCAGGTTGCCACATCATGGGGTGTGGGCAAAGGCCACCTCTGCAGATGGGTAAAATTTGATGGCAGATACAGCAGATCAGTAATCCAAGCTACAGCAGGGGTACCGGGTTCCTGACACAGACCCTGGCTCCAGGGCATGTGTTCTGAATCAGGACTGGTTCAAACCAGAGATCTTGTTCTTCTTGGGGCGGGAGTGGGGTGGGGGCCTTGCCAGCACCATCTTGGAGGCCTGACAGTCATGTTGGCTTCTACTGTTCCCTGGAAGGAAGTGCCAGGACCTAGGTATGGTGGGGTTGATGCTCAGAGGGAATGCTATGTGTGCCCTGTTAGCTGCAGGCAGAAGCTGGGCATCTGCATGCCAGGAGGGCATTGATGTAATGCCGGTCCATGAAGCTTGGGTGCCCACCGTCCTAAAGACAAGGTCAAGAAGCCAAGAGGCACCAGTGGAAGGACACGGGGGAGGTGGACCAGCACTTTGCGGGCCCCACATCTCTTCTCCCTAGCCAGAACCAGTAGGAACAAGAACCCCCAGCTTCTCTGGGTCAGGAGCGGCGGCTGAGACTAAGTAGGGCTGAGCTGGGCTGCGCATTCAGGTCAATGGTTCATCCGGTGGTAGGGACCTGAGGACAGCAGAGTGGCCAAGGGCAGTTGGCTACCCAACCTAAACATGGAGGGGCTACCTCTCCAGTCTTTGATGGTCCTGTTTTGGTCTGGTTTGATCACTGGATGCAGGTCCTGGCTTACACCTCTGCTGAGGTATATGGTCCTCCATCCCCACTTAGGGGTTGAAAAGAATTTTAAATATCCCATCTTGCCTCTCTGCCCAACCAGCATGTCTGTCCTCTTAGGGGCTGGGCAAGCCAACCAATGGTGCAGTAGTTTGAAGAAGAATGGGCAGCTCTGTGAGACAGCAGATCAGCCTGTACAAAATCTAGGGGTCTTGCTCTGACTCCCTGGATGCTATGTGGCCTGGGTTCAAGCCCTGACATCATCGCTCGAAAAGGGACTGATGGGCTTGCAGGAACCTGCCACTGCGCTCCCCCTCCTTATCAGTTCTCCCTGAACCCCTTGTCCCCAAGTTGTCCTCATGCCCCTGTCAAGGAGGGAGCCAGGTGAGTCTCAGGAGTCAATCTCAGCTGCAGGCAGGCATGTTGCCTGCATGCGTACCTGCTCCTATCTGGGTGGGGCTGAGAGAGGAGAATATAGCTCACCCGGCCTCTATCCCTGGAGTAAGGCTGCTTGCTCTCGGGGACCCTGAGCTGGAAATGCTAGGGTACAGATTGTTGGGACACCCAGCCACCCAACATGGGCAGGCAGGGAGACACAAGAGGACAGGGTCCTGGGTCTCCCTCTTGCATACTCCTCTGAAGGCCCACTCTGTCTACACATGCCCCAGGAGGTCCTCCATGCTTGCCCAGCAGTGCCGGAACAGACCCATGTCCAGACTCACCTGAGTCTTTACTGACCAGGCCTGTCCACCCCCAGGTGCCACCAGTCCTGATGACACCCCCACCCCCACCATTTCCACCTCCTCCACTCTTGGCTGAAAGGGTCTCCATGGAAGATGGAAGAAGAGGGGACTCGGGACTCAGAAGTCCCCCGTGTGAGTGCTGGTCTCAGAAGAACTGGTCTGGGCAGGGTGTGGAGGGCACCAGGACCCAAGTGGGGGGACTTTCTCTGAGGAGCTAGACTCGGGTTACTGAACGCATTGGGTCACCCTTTCCCACAACTCCTTCTCCCTGGCTTCCTTTAAGTCTCTGAGGTTGACATTTTCTATCCTGGGTACATTATCATAGAAACCTGAATAGAAGTGAAAGCAGGTAGTCTCGGTGGGACCCAGGTCAGAGACCTCAGCAGGCCAGTGAGTATCCTTTGGAAGGATGGGAAGGGTGGGAAGCACCTGCCAACTGCAGGTCAGCACCTTTAGAGGACTGTGACCAACCCTTATCAAAATGACGGAATGGTATTAAGCTATCAGCAGATGCCACACGTGGTGAGCTTTCGTTTTGACCCATGGACAGGTTACAGCCACATGTTCACATGTAGGAGTCTACGTCTGCCTGTGGGGCAAATGTGTCTGTGGGATCTATGTATCTCTGTCTGAGTGCACGTATCTTCATGAGTGTGCTTGGAAGTCTCTATGTGTCTGTGTATGCACTTGTGTATCTGCACCTGCGTGTCTAAGCATGTCTGTGTTTGTGCCAGTGTGCATGTGCCAATCTGTGTTTGTGTATGTATGTGTCTGTGTTTGTCTATCTGTGTGTGTGTTTCTGTGTGAGAGCATGCATGTGCCTCTTGTCTGTGTGTGTGTACTTGTGGCTGTATGTCTCTCTGTGAGCATGCATGTATCTATAGGCCCCATATGTATGCACCTGTATGTGTGAGCATGCATGTGTTTGTGTGTATCTGCCTATGTATGTGTCTGTGTGTTGGTCTACCTGCGAGAGAATGGTTCTGTTTGCCTGCCTGGGGTGTGACACAGAGGTTTCTTGCCCAGGGTCGTGGCATGGTGTATGTTTATAGTGCCCAGGAGACAGGGGTAGTAAAAGGACAGGCTTGAGGATCTGACAGGGCTGGTCTAGGTCCCTGAACCTTCAGATCTTGTGGACTACTAGCTCTGTGCAGGCTGCTGAGAAGTCAGGAGGGGCTATGGTAGACAGAATCAGGCAACATATAACCTTTCTAGGAGGCCAGGCTGGGGCAAGCCTTCTTAAGGCCTCTATGAGAATCCTAGTGGTAAGAATTTTGCTGCTGACCACAGGGGGACTTTGGGGCAGGGCTGTCCTGGGTCCAGGAGCTCCAGGCTTGGAATCTCCTCTCCCCTACTCTTGCCCATCCGAAGCCCCTCTGACTTCAGCTGTCTTCAGCAGCTGTAACTCTCAGTCCAGCCTGGCCTGGTCAGCCTGTCCCAAGGGAGCCAATGGGCTGTGCAGCCCCTCTGAGGGTCACCACCAGTCTCCCAGCTGCCCTTAAGGTGAGTGTCTGCCCTTCACTCCCCACCTCTCCACCTCGAGGCTAACACATCCCTATGTTAGCTCAGCCCAGACAGCTCTGAACACCCCAAGTTTTGGGGAGTTGAGAATCTTGGGGCAGCAGCAGCCCAGGCCCCATTACAGGAAACACAGAGCCATTCTCTGTCATCCCAGAGTCCTGACCTCTGGACTTAGGGTTGGAAGCTCCTGTCACAAGAGGCAACCAGACACATGCAGGAAGGTTCTGGAGCCTGCTCGTCTGCAGCTTCCAGCTAGTCCTCCCTGCCCACTCTCACTTTTCCAACCCCGCCTTTCCCTGGGTCCCAGAGGACTCTGAAAAATGCCAAGTGGAGTGCTCACAGTTTCACAATGGCTCTGTAAGCATTGCACTATGGCGTGCTGTAGGTAACCTCCTCTAGATCATGTAAGACCACACCTGCCCCCTTGCCCCTCTCCCCCCCCCCGGAGGGAGGAGGGGGCTGCACATCCTCACCCTCAGGGCCTCACCTTTATTAGACTAGAGATTGGAACGGTTGGGGAATCTCAGGACATGTAACCTGCTTGTTCCTATAGGCGCCTGAGATGGAAGCCAGGGACTCCCATGATGGCCTGGCCACTCTGCAGCTGGATGGGCTGCCTTCAGGAGACCTTGATGTGCTGGTACCCACCCAGGATGAACAGGGCCGGCCCATCCCTGAGTGGAAGCGGCAGGTGATGGTTCGGAAGTTGCAGGCACGCCTGGGTGCTGACCATCTTCCAGAAGATCAGGTGCTGCAAGGAGGAAAAGGGGAGGAGCCAGAGGTGCTGCAAGGAGGGGGAAGGGGAGGAGCCAGAGGAGGAGAGCCAGGCCAGAGGGAGGGGCAGAGCCTTAAGGAGAAGGAGGGCAAAGCTCCAGGAAGAGGGTGAGGACCATGGGTGGGGGAGGAGTGGGTGGTGTG